GAGGAGAAGGAAGAAACAAAAGCATATTTTAAATCCACAGTATTTAATCAGTCTATTTTTGTCTTTTCCTAACTGACATATAGACATTCTGTATTTAAGTGATTCCTTCATTGCTTATATGTGCTGTAAATATTTACTTTCAGACTCTTCACTGTCAGTTAAAGAGTTATTTTACCTAATAGATTGAAATTTTTGGGCCCCCCCCTTTATGGCTTTATACTGTTATATAATTTGCTTTTCATACTTATATATTTAATTTGTCTGAGATATAGTCATTTTGTTTATAGTTTATTCTTTTCTATTGATTTGTAGTGCCCTTCAGGCATATAGCAATTTTTCCTTTCCTGATAGTTCTTGATTTCACTATTATTTTCCATTTGTTTCTCTGTGAACTGATACCACAGTTTTTAATAATAGCCTTGGAGTAGTTCTTGGTGCATGTTGTAGTTACTTCTTATTCTTTTGATTCTAAATAATCTTGGCTTTTCTTAATCTATAGCCATCTCAGATCCATAAACAAACAAACTCTGTTGTAATTTTGATTATCATGATTTGGGGGCTAAAGATAAACTTGAGATTTTTGAAAGTTACTTTTGTTTTCTCCATTAACATGACATACAATGTCCTTTCATGGGACATTTTAAGCTAAATTAAAAAAGAATATATGTACATATAAAGGCCCCTACGTACATACACAGTTGCATGTGTTTACATATGATTACAATAACACAAATTGATAGCACTGTTGTGGGGGATGGGACTAAGGGGTTTAGACCTGAAGTGAGATTGATGTAAAATATTACATCTTGTGTATGTCTCTTGGCTTCCTGCTTCCCTCCCTCGCTCTCTCCTTTCTTCCTGACTTTCTTTTCTTTTCTTCGCTTTGCTTTGCTTAGCCGCGCCTCTCCTCTCCTCTCTTCTTCTACTTCTTGATACTGAGTATTGAGCACAAATTCAGCAATTATTCTACCTCTAAAGCTTAAGCCAGGCGCTTACTTTTGATTTTAGCAATCTGATCTGAAGGCTACACTCATTGGGCTGGATCAACATCTTAATCATAAAGGGTGATTGACGTGAGAATTCTTTTTTTCATAATGTTTTTCTTTAATACAAAGTACTGATACCAGAGAAATGCCCAAGCAAAGAAGAGAGTTCCATTTTTTCAATTTCCCCAGTAATAATGGATCTTATGCCATTCAAATATTACAAATGGGAATTAACAGATCTCATATGTGGATCTGATAAGGTCTTCTGTGCTATGTGTATAGGTAAAAGGAAGATCAGTCCATTAGCTACATTTCATTCCCTTTCTTTCATCAAAATGCTACTCATCATATGGAATAGTTCTTTAGTATTTTTTAAGGAATGAATTAATGGATAAACAAGTCAAAATTATTAATTAGTAGAATTATTTTGTGGGTGAGATGTAGTGGCTTGTTTTTGAGTCTAATACAGGATTTGGAAAATAGTAAGTATTCAGTAAATATTAACTACTGCTTTTTGAGATATTATGGATATTATTTTTGCTGCTATTACTGTTGGCATTTGTTGTTATCTGATTTTGGAGAGTAGGTTTTAATTTTCCTTTCTGTGCTTTGGATGAATAAAGAAGAGTTACTTACCACGGTTCTGAAAGTCATTACTCTGACATGGATGAAAAGGTCTTCATAATATGCTGAAACTCATGAGGTAGAATTTAACAGTCTTTAATATCCCACACACAAGGAGAAAAATGAACAATGGAAAAATGAAAGCAGAGTTTGCTTGAAAGCAACACATGGAGAAGTTTTAAGGAGGTGATACTCTCATAAATTATATTAAAATAAGCACAGTTTCTACATGACAAAGTTGATGATTGCTCCATTAGACAAAGACATACTCTACCTAGGTGCTTCTCATGATTAATCTTAGATATTTTATTTCCTAACAAACTGAGGTTGGAAAGCATATTTGATGAATAGCAGTTGAGGTGGTGAAAAGAGTTACGCTATTTTATATTAAAGAGTTTTGCTTTGAGGATAAAATGACTCATGGATGAAATGGCAGCAGTCCTTAAATATTTGAAAATAATTCATGTATTGGAGACTTAAAATCAATATAAGAGAGGGATTTAAAAATCTGATAATGTACTCAGCTATTCTAGATTTCAGACCCATTTTTTCTAAGGTAGGGTTCACAACCACACAGAGTCTCTGTAGAAGACGATTAAAGGGCTGGGTGAGATAAACGTCAAGCTGGACATTTACTATGCCATGATTTGTTTTGTTTCAGTATGGAATGGCTTCAGATATGGCTGTATTTATTATTGGAAAAATAACTACCATCTGACATGATTGATGGATTTTCTCAATAAATTTCAGCTAATGCTGCTTTGAACAAGAATATATTTTATATTTATTATATTGAGGCATGAAAGAGATAAACAGGGGATTATGCATTGATTTTCTGCAGAGGAGAGCATGGAAACTGACTGGAATCTGACCAAATGTTTGAACTTATTCCAAGGTTGTAATAATTGCTTATTAATGGGTTGGTCATAGAGCTGGCCATGTATCGAACACCCACCACCTTGTCTGGGCACCATTTGTTGAAGAATGAATATGTAACTCCTCTTATCGCTTGGCTGATGGTGTTCAGTAGCTTCTTTTCTCCTGAGAAAAAAAGAAGCCAATACCCAAGGCTCTCGTTAGTTAGACCACCTTTTAAATCTTCTTCACAAATTCCTCATGAACAGTAACGACAGTAATTGAAATAGAGGCTGCAGAAATTCTTGGGAAAATCCCCTGTAGCACAGAGGAAGGTCTCTGAGCATCAAAAGGATTTTAGAAGAGTTAGAAATGTTTTCACTGGAGGCAAGTCTCCGGAAGTGGGGCAACAGGATGGACTTCAATTTCCATTTCACTGAAAATATTGCTTTCACATGAACATCTACAGAATATATTTGGAAATTTTTAAAACTCTGAATAACATTTTGTAAATTATATGCAAATATAATAATGTAGTGAAAAAAGGAGCCATATAAATTGCACTAAGTTCTAGGAAACATAACCATCTTATATAATGCACACCACTTAGAAGGAATTTTGAGCTATTTACTTTATTTGGTATCGCTAGCTACATGCAGCCACAGAGATCTGCAAAACAGTGAAAATTCTTTTGTTTATTAATTTGGAGTAATGATCTTTAAGTCATAATTTTGGTAATATGATATTCTGTTTGCTTAATGCATTTTTATCTTGGACTTTATTTCATGTAGATTTCTACTAATGATTGGTACTGATTAGGCAGGTATAAGACTTCAAATACGTTACTCTAGTATTTTTGTTTCTTTCCAGTAAGACAATTTGACCAGGACTTGGATCAAGGATTAGGATTAGTGTATCTTCCAAAATGCTATTAATCTTGTTCTCCATGGATAATAGACCTATGATTTTAAGGGTTTTATTTAAAGCTTCTGTTTGTCTTTATTAACTGTTGTATATACCTCTATTAAAAAACTAGATGTAGGGAAAAATAAATTTCAAATCAAAGATTTTTTAATTTCTTCTTTTCTTCCCTCCTTCCATTTCTTTCTTTCTCCTTCCTCTCTTCTGTTCTGACAGGCTCTCAAATTACGCTTTCTAAACTTTTCTCTGCATTCACAGCGATAAACAGACCATAAAATATCATTGTTCCTATCAAGTTAGAACAGGCCTAGGCTATACAAAGAAGCTACAAGGGAGCATTTACCTTAGAAATGTTTTTTGTGTGTGCCAAGCAGAACACGTTATTTCTGAGTTTAAAAATAGTCAACACACAATTTAGAAAACATGGTTATATTTATTAATGGCAATAAATGCATTTTAATTAAAGCCATGGATGTCCCAACACAACTTGAATTATGACAACCCAATGGCCTTTTTTTTTTTTTTACAAAACTAGGCTCTTTGTTTCATTAATTTCCTAAAGGATGTGAGTGCAGTGAAAGGATGACTCAAAAACTATGAAATCCCTTTAAATCCTCTGTCTACTATAGATACCAACTCTGAAAGTGGCATTTAAAAGTGCTCCTTTTATTTTAACTTCATCTGCTGAGCTTTTGTTATTGTACCTTTACAATTTCTTTAAAGCTTTGATTTTTGTGTCAACAAAATTGCTAGTACTTTGGCTTGACTTTCCATGAAGAACTAAATTGTGTCATGTTAGTATGTATTTAGGAAGATATATAGCATTTGTAAATATATGGATCTGAATGAGCCATCATAAATATATAAACAACATGGTATATAAGATTATCTATATATCATGTAATATACACTGGATGGACTGGGAAATATATATATATGCTTCTTCTTAATAAAGTCAGAATTCTAAATAAAATTTACCTATACAAAAAATTTAAAGTTTTTAGAGATGTAAATTTTTCCTTAAGAACCATAAAATCAGATAGCTGAATAATTATCATTTCCTAAAAGTTAACTTTATTCTTTTCAAAGCGTCATTTGAACCCATTTAACATCATGAAAATCAAATTAGATGAAAGCACTTCAAAATAAAAATGTCTTATTAGCAAAGGATAACATAGTCATTCTATTTTATCTTTTAAATCAATTAATCCAAACGTGTAAATTTAAAAATGTCTTATAAACAAAATTCACGAAAGAAAAGGCACTTAGGCCCTGCACATGGTCATTCCAATCTGTATTCTCCACAACTATAACCAAATAAAACTGATTTTGGCCTTCATATAAATACAGCAAGTTGCCAGATTAAAACTGAATCACAACGTTTATGAGAAAGAATCAGCTTGGCCAACAGAATGTTTCACATCAGTAGGAAATTTCTTTAGTGGCTTCTGATGGAATCTGAAGCGTGTGTTATTAGCATAGCAAGTGCAGGAGAGGTATAAGGCTGTTGGAGACATTCCCTTAGTTTATTGACTAAAAAGATAAAGTAATTGCTGTAACAGTAAAGCTTGGCAAGATAATTAAATGAATGATAACAAAATCTCAGCAGGGAAGTGCCCATTAATTGAATTTATTTGGGAACATGTTTTCACAAGTATAACAAATTATCTAATTTTCACTGACATTAAAAAGTGATAGCCTATAACAACTAATTACTAGAAATGAAGGAAAAGGCCAGTACTTTGAACCAATAACACAGTGGAAAACAAAATTACTAACATCAAAGGGCTGCCGTGATGTTTGACAGCTTCCTAAGAATTCTATTTGTCATTTTGTTCTGTGAAGACATTTCACTGAAACTTGCCAAAGAAAAGAATCCCAGTTATTTCTGTGTAGTAGTGTCTTTAAAGCTGGAACAAATTTACAACATTCTTTATATTCTTTACTATAATTAACATGTGTCTCAGCATGACTATGACAACAGGTATAATAACTGTTGTTACAGTATACATTACAGCTGTAGTAATTGAGTTTTGGCTCAATTTCTGTAATGAAATTATTGCCACCATCTTTTCCTACTTAGTATTACATATGGTGAAAGTTTTAAAAATTTTTGTTGCAGTTTAATGTTGAACAGATCAAGAAGTCTGATTAAATTATATTTTTAAATCAAATTTTAAATATGGTACAATCTATACCCATTCTCTGTTTTAAGCTGAGATATGCCTAAATTGAATGTTTGTAATGTTTTACCAAATTATGTTCAATTTGCATAAAAATTGATGAAATTTGTTAAATATCTGCGGTACTCATTTTCACAGTCAATATGTTCAATAAAAATTTGAAAGAATTAAAACTGTTACCTTAATATTTTTATCTCATACTCTAATGTCAATGTTTTGAAAAAATTTTGGAATAATTATAGAACAGCAAATCAATGAAATAGAGATCATTTTGGCTTAATGATAGTAATTCTAAACAGCCTTGCTTAGTTATAATTTAATCCAAGGCAAGAAAATCTCAATTAATATATAATGGCAAAAATGTATTTTAATTTTGGTGATCAATTTTTATCATAAAGTAAATGATCATCTAAATAAATATATTTTAATATACTGCTTAAAACTGAATAACAGTGTTCAAGATTTTTTCTTGCATTTAAAAATTAAGTTTCAGCTTTAAAAACAGTACATTTCCCAACTTTCCATGAAAAATTTAATCATATTTACTGCAAACATGTACTAATAAAAAGATAAAATTTAAAAACAGTTATTCTGCTGACTGTGGGACATCATTTTACATTCAGAAAAACAGAGGCTGTAATTAAAAAAATAACAGCTAACACTCATTCACAACTTTTCCACATGACTTGAAAACATCAATAGATCTTGACAGATATTATCTTAATTTAGAGAAAAAAGAGTAGGGGCTATGCTTTGTTTTCCTAAATTATTTCCCTAAATTAATATAAAGTAGATGACAGAAGTGTTATGCACAGGTAGACTGGATTGATTGATATAAAATAATAGATTGGTAGCTAGAAATATGGCATCAATAAAACAATCAAATGCTTGGTTTTTCCAAGTGAAGTAATAATGTATATGAAAGCATTCATTCACATCTTATTTTGTTGGCACTTCTCTTTCTGTTTTTACCCTTTGTTTAATTAATATAGTAAAAGACAGTATTCTGATTAAACAGTATTTCAGATGCTAAACATTTCTTTTTATTGGTTTACATTGGCAGTTCACATTCTAAAAACATAACCACATCAAGCAAAAATTGAATACAGACCACTCTGGATTTTGAAGACTTTTACTTCTAACAGAGATATTTACTTGAAATTATGGAGCAATGTCTATATTTTATTAATAGTTAACAATTGGGGGGATAAATTATAATTAAAGAAGTTACTTGAAATACTTCTTTAATTTTCTAGTCTTAGTTTAATGTTTTTCTCAGCAGTTAAATTCTTCTTAGGATAACCTTTATCCTTTACTTTATCATAGTTTGATTACCTTTGCATTATGAACCTAGGTATTTTTATTTCATAAAATATCACATTTATTTCCAATAGATATTTTTCCCCGATGTGCATAAAATGGAACCTGTGTTTCTAACTGAAAACTATTGGTACTTTCTTTCTATAACACCCTCACAAAAGGGGTACTTAAAAATACAAGCCAGTATTTTTCATGAATTTATAAATTCGTAATGTCAAACCTTCACATGTTTCATCTTTGCTAAGACGTGACTTTAAACACATGGTTGTATTTTCTGTAGAAGTTACTTGTGTGTCTTCAAAAACCGACTGGTCTAGAAAAATGACTCTTTGAGACAATCATGTTCCTTTTGTTTTTGTTTTTTTAAAAAAAGACAAAACAGCAACAAACATTTTAGCTCTTTAATGAGCAAAAATCATGTCTCTTAGCATTTGACTAATAGTCATTATCCAGATTATCTTTATTTCACGCAATGACCAGTGACATGGCCAAGATGTACAAAGTTTGTTTCCATCAAGTAGTATACAATATTTTTCTTTTGTATAATAAGCTTTCATTCTTGAAAAAGAGTAACTGAAAAGAAAGGTTTCTGTTACTGCAGTTAGTTTGTCAGAGAAAGTTCTTTGCATTATCTTACAAACTATCAAAATTGCTAGTCATCTGAAAAAATGTAAAAAAAAATCACATAACTTTAGTCTAATAGAAATATAGTACAGGTAAGAGAGAAAGTATTTGTCAGGATGTGCTCTTTAAGTCCATCTCGTTTTTTTAATATAAATGTACATCTGATTACATATACAAACATTTGGAAAGGTCTGTGATATACTGATCTTATTGGTAAACAACAGGGAGATGAAGAGTTTCCTGTGACTTTAGAAATTCGTTTAAAATCACACACATGTGTAAGACTAAAACCTCCCAGGTGTCAACCCTCTTAGGTTCTGTTCTATGTTGCACTCTACTGAGACTAGGTGAGTAAATTTCCGTGAATGAACCTCAGTGAGAAAGTTAAGTAATATGAAGCGGGACATAACTTTATATCGAATTACTATTATTAAACATTTTGTCATGCAACATGAGTAAATCAATTAACTGAGAACTGTAATCAGAATGATAATATTGGGGCACCCTCATAGCATAGAAGACTGTTGCAAGGAATGCTTTGGACACACTTCACCTTACCAAATGGGACAAAATACAGAGTAACAAAAACCACAACAAATTGTTGATCCTGTAACACATGTCCAATTAGGGTTATATCTTTTTATAAATTATTTATATGGAACTGAAAAGAATATTAAAATAAGAATTTTTTCTGGGATTCATATCAGCAAGTATTCATCATCATATCTATAGTTTCTTCAAATACCTTTAGTAACTAATCCTATTATTGACACTACTGTGATTTATTTTACTGTAATTATTTTGGCCCCTTAAAATCTTCTTTAGGTTCTGCCAATTGATGGAGGAAGCTTCTATTAAAAACTCCAATGGGATGAGAAGAATTTTAATTACGGCTTAATCAGCAGCACAGCCACCAAGCATATAAATTATCATGCACATCGTGCTAAAAATATCCAGTTTCCTTTATCCCCACAACTTTATACTGACAGCACTTATGTGATAATGTTGTACCTGCCAGTCTTTAAACTTCTTTGTTTTACTGGCAAATTTCAGCATGAGCCTCTGCTAAGGCCATTAACAGCATTGGTGCTTTGTGTACTTATCCAAATATGTAAATATGGTCTACACAATAAAACGGCTCCAAATAAAAACTGGTGAAAATTATCTGACATTCCATTGGTGTGTCCCTTGTGCATATTCATAGTTGTTTTTAAATTTTTATTTTTTTATATTTCAGACATAGTTCTTTCCTGTTTGGTGTTCCACATGCCTAATTCCATTATGTAACTTAAATCTTCAAAAAATTAATTCTTGAATGTGAATGAAAAGTATCATTCAGAGCAATTGCTTCAAGCAACTGCAATTTGTTTTTAAAGTTGATTTGTTATATATATATACAATTCATATTTTTAAAACCCCCAAGTTGTTGATATGTATATTCACACAATATTCCTCCTTATTTAAATAGTGAGAGTCTTGTAGATTGAAAGCCAAGGAATCTTCAGTAATCTTTTACTGTAATCCATCAAAAAATAGTTTGTTTCTCTTATCTGGCTATACCCTGGTTGTTGAATGTGAATGGGGGTGGGAATGGGGGTGGGGCAGAGTATTGTTCTGTCCTCCAGTAAATGTATTGAATGTGTGTAAGGGCTGAATCCCTGGTATAGTGTTAGGAATCATGGTAATGGTGTTGGGTGTCATTAAAGGGACATCATCAGGTGATCTTCTCATAGCTAGTGTGTAATCTGGGGGGCAGGCGGTCCGCAGAACCACCTCATGTGGATGGATGGACTCACATTCATGATCCAAATCAGTGTGCTTCATTTGGAGAGACATGATTTCCTCTTCTTGGGCATGGGTCAGGTCATTGGTAGTAGTGCGTTGAGGGCTACACCTCCGATGAACGTCATGTCTCCTCTTATCCTTTTTGTAGTAGAGAGCTGCAAAGGCCAAGATGTTCAGAAAAAGCAGTGATGCTCCGACTGCAATAGTGACACTCAGCTCTGTGGAGTAGTCCCTTTGATCCACTGAAAATGGACTTGGCTGCTGTTTGGGATCATCTTGCTTGGCAGTGGGAAAGGCGGCTGTGACAGATACAGAATTTTTTCTCGTAGGTCTGAGAGTGATGTCTGTTGATGGCACTTTCGTTGTGGTCGAGGTATACTGAGAAATGTCATTGAGATTATGCAGATGAGGTACCAGCTCCAACCAGAGGTTTACCTTATTGGCTCGGTAATGCTCTTTAACCCTTGGTTTTAATCCAATATGTAGATAAAGTTGGTCTTTCTGGGAATATCTGGTCCATGCAACTTCTTCAAAGCGGTTGGGTTTAGTATGAATGAATTTTGTATCTTGAGGAACTGGTTGATTTGGGTCACTAGTAAAAAAAAAAAAAAGGAATTATGAAGCAATTTTTTTTTCTCAGTCAAAATTCTTCTAGTTTAATTGAAGCGGCAATTTAGCAAGGTTGTTATATTTTAACTTTAACTGGGGTCACTTTAGACATTTATATCTCCTTACAGGCAGATTGGTAGATGAGAGGTATGTAAGGTTCACATTCTTTGCTCTCTGCCCATTTAGTGGTGAACTACTATCTGCTCAAAGACTTCTATGAATTATTTAAATATTTACATATATGAGTTGTTGCATAGGCAGTGTAGGAGAGGTGGCATGGAAAAGTGGGACAGAATTGGGATTTAGAACTGGCAGATAAAGATTTGATTTACTGTTGCTATATACCTGACATATGAGTATTTATATGAAGTTCATAGACACTTGGGTTCCTTTTGTGAGAATGGAATTATTTATACTTGACTTGCCTACCTCAAATTGGAAGGACCAAAGAGCATACAGTATTACAAACTAGAAAAATCTGTGCAGTAGTATATTTTGAGATACATAATTAGCAATGTTATATCCTGTATAATTAAAAAAAACCCAAAGCATATTTAATTATTGAGTAATGCAATAAAGATGTCTTAATAAACATTTAAAGAGATAATTAATAAAGACCTAAGTTTTAGAGATACAACAATATAGAATTAATGTTGAATAAAATTTTGGTATATTGCTGAATGATCCATTAAATTATTTAGACACAATTTGCACTTTAAAAATAACTAAAAGAATATTTTCATTAAAATTGTACTAAACTTCATTCCTTAGGTACTTACCCAGTTTTAGCAAAATTTGTCCAGTAAGTCATTACAACTGCACTCAGCATCACATCATTTTTAGAGAAATTGCAAGGAAACAACTCGGTAGGACCGATCATGGGTATTCCCAGTACGTAAGGAACCTCATCTCCATGGGCTGCGTCAGCCCATGCTGGAACCTGATCTGTCTGGCAATGATGGTAAAAAGCGTAGAAGTATGTGGGTGAACCAAAGTTGGAGTGAAGATCTGCTGTTGCTACAGCTGGTGCCACCCACTGATGGTCTGTAAACAAAGCCAGTAAGGTCTTCCTTCTGGTTTCGGGGTTATGCCGGTCAGCCCAGTCAGTATACATGAATTTAATGGTTTCTCTCAAAACATCTTTGCCTTCGGGATATCCATATAAATTATCAACAAAATTGGAAACAGCGAAGTCAAAATCACTAGCAGATATACCATCATCACTATCTACTATATTTTCCACAAACTTTAAACCTTCCCCTTGGTTAACTCCTAACATTATATCATAGTTGAGAAACTCTCCTTGCTCCATCAGTATTTGAGGATCGTCTGGTATTACATCACCGTCAATCACAGGTCCAAAGGCTATGTGGTATCTGGCTGGTTGAATATCTTGATCGACAAGTTCTTTGTAAGGCTTCTTCTGGAGGCATTCCACTAACTCTACTGTATCTGAAATATTGCAGCCAACTTTTGTGGCCAACATTCTAGCATATTTTGCAGGTTGGAAACTAACAGCCCAACTGGAAAGGGCTGTTCCACTTTGAGCTATTGCTCGTTGAAAAAGTCCTATGGGAAAATCAACAAAGAGTTTCAGATGACCTTGAAAAATGCTGCAGCAAAATAATATATTTTAGACATGTATATAAAAACCTAGATACATCCCAGGAGACAGACAGAGAGAGAGAGAGAGAGAGAGAGAGGGAGAGAGAGAGAGAGAGAGAGAGAGAACAAAAGGGAGACAGAGAGAGAGAGAGACAGAGAGAGAGAGAGAGACAGAGAGAGAGAGAGACAGAGAGACAGAGACAGAGAGACAGAGAGACAGAGAGAGCAAAAGGGAGACAGAGACAGAGAGAAAGAGAGAGAGAGAGGGAGAGAGAGCGAAAGGGGGGAGAAAGAGAGAGAGACACAGACAGAGACTGAGACAGAGAGACACACACAGAGAGAGAGAGAGAGAGAGAGAGAGAGAGAGAGAGAGAGAGAGAGAGAGAGATTTTTTTTTTGCTAAGATATGGCATACAAAGTCATCTCCAGGGTAAAATGAATCAGAAATGCAGACTTAGGTCCTATGTGTTGAGTGACATCTGCTTTATGAAGAGGTCTAAATTTTGCAGGCTCAAGAGGCAGCGAGAAAGGAGGGGAGAAGTTGTAAATACTAGTTGTAAAAATCAGCAAATAATTTCTTCAATGAGCATAAAACCACATATATTATCAATAGCAAACAGATGGAGCAAATCCTCTGTACGACTCCCCGTCAGATTTGGTATTGTCTGTCTGAGAAATATCACTTAATTTGATTGTCTTCAGCCTCTACAAAAGTGTGTTTGTTTTAACCAGATTTAATTTGGAAAATAATTGAAATCGCATATAACTATTGGGCCAGATATTTGTTTATACCCTGGAGATGACCCTACGGACACACACACCAAAATATAACTTTAGAGATACTCTAAGATCTTCATGTCAGACATAGTAGGCTGATTATTCATCTTTCAGAAGAAGATATAATGATTCAAGTGTCTTCATTAAATAAAAGAAAAAAATCAGCAAAAGGCTTTGGTGAGGGTAGATTTAATTTTTTTCACTGTCAAATGTATACTGCTATAGTTTATCATAAAATATGAAACATAAATGGTCAACTACTTTTTACTTATTTTCATTTTTTAAAAACGTGAATTTTGACCCCATATAAAGTTTAAGAGCTGCATGCCACTGAAATGTGCAAATGTGGTTTTCTATTCTTTGGAGGATTGTCTAAACAAATTTGCTTTTAAAAATATAATTTATCCATTTTCTTTTTTATTTGATGTCAATTTTTAGATGTAACTGTAGTTCAGTTAAAAATATGCTAAATTATTTATATGTGACGAGAAAATAACTTTATACAAAGGTGTTAAAGCATTGTCCCAATTAGAAGTTTCAGATTTTTCTCTAAACACACATATATATAGTAAAACTTCTGTAACTTGACTCAAATATTCAAAAAGTCAAGCAATACTAATTCAAATTTGTTCTTTTCTGACATCTTTATGAATGTATTTTAGATCAGTAGAGACACATATGTTACAACAAATACTAAAATACCAATAATTTAAAAAATACATAGTGTCAACATTTGCCCAAGCAAATATTTTATAAATAATAATTTTATAGCTAAAGGAAGCCTGATAATTTTTGTAATATCCTTTACCATTTCAGGAATTCAATGACATTAGCTGAATATGCCAAAAAGATTTAAAGTATAATGAACATTGTGTTGAATAGTGCCTGAAGTTGCCACTTAGGCGATATTGGGAAAGCCATTTATTTTATCAGTGGTGAGAATGCTTGGTAAGTGTATGCAAGATGTAATCGATTCCTGGTTGATGCAGGTCTGAGCATGGCTGTATCTCTTTATGGAGTGTACAGCCTTTAACAGCAGTGTCTTCACTAGAGACAGAATCAGCCAGACAATTTCAAGAGATCTCAGCACCTCCAGGTCAAGACAAAACAGCTCATTCTGGAGATGTGTTTGGATTAGAGCAGATCTAAGTCCATGTCTCTGGCCAGATATATATAAATTTTCTTAAGGACTACAATAAACATTTTCAAATTTTTGCCATAACCGCTCACTATGCTGTCAATTATTGAAGAGCAGTGCTAGTTGACTAAGTAATGGATTCAAACATTGAAAATGTTCTCAGCTGCATCACTTTGTCATCTCAAATCAGAATCTAGTAATACATGACTCTCTTTGTATATATATATATATATATGTATATATATATATAAACATATACATATACATATACATATACTCATTTAATGGCTAGCTGTTCTTTTGGATTTCTTCATTATGATATTTTGATATCTATAACATTGTATATCTGGTGCTCATATAATAAAACTCTATTACAATTTAAGATGCTTCATGAATTACACTTGACAGTGAATAATTAAGTTCATTATATATAAAATGACACGAAGTAGAAAATAAAAGATGTTTTGTATTGATACATATTCTCTATTGTCCTCTCTATTATACATAAATAATAGTGTATAATTTGCAGACTTCTTTGGCAAAACTTCTGTTCTTGTAGACATTTCAAATTAATAATGCAGTCAAAATGGGTGATTAAACACATGGTAAAATGAAGCCCATAAAGAACAACCAGATGAGCTTTGGACAGACACTTGGGATGTCAAAGCCAGCAAATGGAAACAAGAAAAATATTTCATGGATTTAAGCAGCCTCAGTACTATATGCGGGTATGCCAAGCTTTAGGGGAAAAAAAAGTTTTGGAGTTGAAAACAGGAAAAAGCACAAAAGAAAATGTATTTTTCCTTTTAATCAAAAGCTCCACTACTGACCTTGATGCTTTGACAATTTTGGGACATGCATGCAAAAATAATGAAATACCCATTCTCTCCTGAGACAAGTGAAATCACATGTTTCCAGACAAACTAGCTTATGGCTGCTTCATTGGTTTCATACTAATAAAGGGCTTTAAATGTCTATTATCTCGAAAATAGATTTTATACAATCCCTGTGTTAGAAAAAAACCTTTGATTTTGATTACTGAATAAACAGAGAGGACAGAACTGTGAATATCTTTGCATGATTTTCTCTGAAATCACCCTTTGAAAGAAACAAAAATAACTCTAATGCTGACTATTCTGAAGTGTACTTGAAAGGGCATCTTTACCACGCTACACAGAAGACAAAGAAAAATGTGTGACAAAAATTTAAACATGCATAGAAATCTAAAGAAACATAGCTTTAAATAGTCCTTGAGTTCAACCTAATGCTGAGTTTGAACAGAGAAATATATACAGAGCATCACATACTACTAATGGTGGCATGCAGACACCAAAATTGTCAAAATTTGCAACCTGCTTAATACCTTTGGTTGAATTGCTCCAACGGTTACCTTCAGAATAATGGGATAAAGTCAGGAGATTGACACATGAACCCCCAGCGCCTGATCCAAAGACAGTGATTCTCAAGGGGTCACCACCAAAGAATCCAATGTTTTCACTAGTCCATCTTAAAGCCTGTATAAGGTCGAGAAGCCCATAGTTTCCTTTTGCAGCCTGGTCTCCTGTACTCAAGAAACCTGGAAAATAAAAAAAAAAAAAAAAAAAAGAGGGACCGCTTAGAACATTTGTTTGACCTGACATGAATTAAATAGATGTAAGTGTAATTGTGAGTATAGACTGTGTTAATAAAGTGAGTACAATCCAAGTTCTTCATTGATGTTATTTCCCACAAGATAAAATGATTTGTTAGGAAGAACAGTAGTTACTGAAACCTCAAAAATAGCATCTATTTTTCCCAAATGCTTCGTTTGTTACCCAGGTAACAGATCATGGACAGGCAAAAGGAATGAAAATATTCAAAGACATCTCAAAGGAGATATTTCAGTGGCCAAGATACTTGGTGGAAATATTTCCAAAGCATTATGGGACATATGAAAATGTGAATTAAACATCATGTCAGTCTTGAAGTTGCTGCAATCTAATATGGTCAGAATTTAAGTTTTGTGCAATAGAACATAAATACAAATATAGAAATAGAGTATGTTTCCAAATCTTATTGGAAAAGTGTTCTAGCAATTCTGTAAAACTATGTACAACCCTTTGCGTGTATACACACCCACATGTTTATGTTGATTTTGGCCCATGATTAAGAAACAATCTTTGAGACCACATTATGAATCACCCACAATGCCAAAGTGGGAAAAGTTGCTTAATTAGCAAATAGTGCACAGTAATTGGAGGTTTCAAAAACAGTTTGTACTTAAGAACTTCTGGAATTCTGATAGCTCTGCTTTATTAAGAACCAAACAATGAAGAAACATCTTGTTAAATGATACAGTTTAGGTAGAGCAAAGATTAAAAGAATCTGAACTGACAGATGGCCAAAGGCAATTAAAAAATAAATAAAAAATATTGGGGCAGTCAGAACTGAGCAATTTGAGAAAAGAGGCAAAAATAGTACTTTAGTATTACTTTTAACATATTTATTTTGCTAACAACTTGTAATGTGTTATAATCACTTTAAAGACAAGCATCTATTTTCTGCTGTATTTTGTATAAACAGAAATGTTTCAGAAAATGTTGCACTTAAAGGACTGTTAATGTATTATATAGAAAATATTTAGAGACATTACACATAATTCAACTGATAATATACAAGAATATAATTTCCAATATCAACAAATTTAGAAAATAATTTAGAAAAACAGTTCTCTCTGCTATTGCAGATATTACAGAAATTTAATATAATGCGTCATGGTTTAAAGTTATTGAATTTTAAACATACTTCTTTATTTTATAGAGAAAATGAAGTCAGTTGTATTTGTGTCAACAAAGGTTTGGCAGCAATACTTATCGGCTGAGTAAATAAATCTATAACCCAAATGAATATATAAGCAAGATATTTTTTAGGATAAATATTAAGAAATATACAAAGGCAAACCTTCCTAAATATTTGTGAAAACTGAAGAACTAATGTGGTTATTATTTCTTTTCCTATAAAAGCCAAAGTTCTAAATAATTTAAGTACAATCTCTAGTTCGCTGTGCATATGTATTCTTAGGTAACTCTAGAAATATTACTTACCCTTAAGTTCGAGATTAAAGCTTTACACATATATTTTGAACACACATATCTTTCTGGCCATAGCTACTTATTAAATGTGCATAATGAGTTAGAGAAATTTTCATGATGTTTTCTTACACAGAAGCATTTCCAAACGTACAAAAGATGATACCATAGGAAACAAAAGCATGGCAGGGAACTCTTAACTTTTCTTGCTATTATATGAACTTTGATATAAGAGAAAACTATTAGTTTAATTCCTGATTCTGTTGCAAATGTTTTGATCTATAAAAATAGATAGATGGCATGAATTTTGAAAAAAAATTAAGAAAGGCTTAGTAACAATAGGCTAGAAAAGAGTCTAGAAGGATGAAGGAGGTTAGGAGGACTTGTATGTACATGTGTCTGTATTTATATGTGTCTGTATTTATGTATGTGTGTGTGAGTGTCTCTGAGTGTGTGTGCAGAGAGAGAGAGAATAAAAGTTAATGAGAGAATAGGGTTACAATGTGAAAAATTGTGGTAGTGTATTACTGATAATTGTATTGCATAAACAATTCTCAATTTAAAATTTGAATTTTGAATATAACTAAGCCACTCAGCCTAACCTGAAGATTTGTATTTAACTCACCTAGAAATGATCTTGAATAATTTTACTTACATTCAAATGATTCTTTACAGTCATACAAATCTGAATTGTTAATAATCCTCATTAAAGGTGTAGCACATAGAGAATATTAAGACAATTAACTCTACATTAACTAAATAATATCTCTTCTATAATTCTAGTTTTAGTTGCAGTACTTTCATCTCTTTGGTTGACTGGCCAACTAATTTGGTATTTATATAACAACGCTATACACCTGTAATATATGCAAGGCTCCAAGTTCAATTCCAGCACAGGAAAAAGTGAAAGTTAGTCTTGCATAACACTAATGTAAAAATATATTAAGTCTCTAAAGATTAACCTCCATTTTTCAAATGTATAATATCCAAATGTATAGTATCCTCCAAAAAATGTATAGTATCTTGGAGACAATTTTTTTCAAATCAATTCAGTTCAAAATAGAACTTTTAAACTATAGCATAGAAGATAGAGTAATTGATCCAGTCAAAGTTGTCTTAGTTTTAAAATTATAATTCTCACAAGAAGTTCTAATTTTTACCTTCAGTATTGAATTTCTCTCACTCTTAGCTATATTTCATGTGTATGCTGTGGCATCTATCTATCTATCTATCTATCTATCTATCAATCATCTATCTGAAAGCACATGATCATTAAGCTGAATTTAGAGAGCCAATTTGACTTTTCTACTAGAGAAAAATGATAGCTGTTTTCATTATTAAGTCCAGCCAGTTCATCAGATCATATCTTTTCAGATCTTGTAAAGTTATTTATTCACATACTTGCATAAATTCTTTGATTTCTGATGCTATGTTCAAACAACATTCTGTGGCTCAGCAAAGGGCACAAACGAAAATAAAAGTAAATTACTGGCCTAAAAACTCAGTTAACTACCCAAGTGTCAGTGCATTGACAACAGTGTGAATAACGTGCTACTAGTGAAGGAATCACTTAAAATTCTTTTTTAACTGCTTTAGGTTAGGCTACATACTTAACAGGGAAGCATTTGAGAACATTCTACTGGAACCTCACATTGTACTGCTCAGGTAGAGCCCAGACACAAGGGAGCTCAGTTCTGCAGAGGCCTCGTAGTGCTGCTGATCTTCATGATTATCTTGGAGAGGACACTTCCCCGAAAGTCACTTAAATCCATGTTAACAGACAGCTACCACCCTCGCTGAGCCTTTCTCAGTCTTCATTGTCAGCTCCTGCGTATGACTAATTGAGGTCCTAACACATTGACATTATTTTTGTAAGAGCACAATGACTGCAACGAATCTATCCCTTTTCCAAAGAGAAGCAGAAGCTTCTAGAAAAAAAAATGGACTAATTACTTGAATAATCAATATAAAATCATAAAACATGAGCACTTCTAAAGATAAACTGTCCAAATTCTTTACTGAAAGGACACTGAGAAATATTTCATTACCCTTATGTATCCATTGTGATAATCATGTAGTTATTTTCTCAAATAGACACTGGGTAAAGAAAGAACACACAGGTCCTATTGTTTATGTCTCTGTTCTCTACCCTGACCTTCAGAGGCTTCTGTTCAGCTGTCTTGGTCTGCACGCCAAGAAAAGTTTGCCCAACCTGCCCTGAGTTAGGCTGTAATGCTCTTCTTACTCCTCTGATTCTGGACAATAAATATGGTACGAAAACTGACAAATGTTCTGTGTATACTGAATATTTGTTCTCACAAATAAATAAAAACTAGGGAGTACTTCCTTTGAAAGGGTTATTAAGTGAAGAGAAGTCGTATTGTCTATTTCTAATTGTTCTGACACTGCTTATATACAGTGGCTGCCAGATGAAACAGATCTTTGGGAACTGGGCAGCTCCTGAATCACACATACTATGTAACTTTAGGAACAGTGACTACTATGCAAATTCTGACAACTTCTGCCTGATGTTTATTTTTGTACCATTGTTGCATGCGTATGTGTGCTTTGTAATATGTATTCATAACCTGTTTGTCATTTCCTGGAATAAGAGCTCCAATCCTTGCATTTGTTTCCAAATGGCCCTCTATTCATATGTGGTGAGGGAAGAAAGAAATTAACATATTATAATTCTTTATCATCACATGAAGATCAATAGTTAGGATTCCAGATGAGAGAGGTTTATGTGTCTCTCTTAACTGGGAAATTAAGAAACACTCCTCATTGCCTCTGCTTTGATTGTGAAATAAGAGAGAGGAGTGGAGTAGCTTTAAAGGTTGGAGAAATTGTACAGCCCTAGGTGAAACCTGCAGGACAGGTAAGCAGACTATTTCAGAATCTTGGTCCAAGGACAGAAACTTTGAGAAAAATTTGAGATTCAGCATTAGTCAGCATTCTCAAGTGCCGGACTTGGGACAACTTGTGTGTATATAAGCAAGTTGCTGTGTGAAAACTTGGTAAGCACATGAGTTTTGGCTTCCAAATAAAAAACACTAATCGTACTATCTGTTCTGCAGAATTATCATTATACAAGAGAGTGTTTTGGCACAAAGGATGGTCTGAAATACACTGGATAGAAAGACGTTGCCTGTAACCAAGAAAATTTGACTTGTTTGTGATTACCATTATTTCATTTAATAGCACAAACCATCCTTACATATGAGATGAAAAGAAATATCTCTTTCAAGTGAATTGAAAGGAAAACAATTACAATTTTTTAAAGGTTACATAGTTACACATAATATAGACAGTGTGGTTAAATTTATCACAAATTTTTAGATTACTCTATAGAGAATAGTTGACAAGACATTTTATTATGTATATGGTACCCTCATAGTTTTAATTAGGTAGTAAGAGTATTTGTTATAAAGAAATTTAAAGAATATATCAAGAGTATAGAACATGTCTGTATTCCTTGTAGTTACTCAGAGCTGAATCAAACCTTTAA